TAGCTCTCCTTCACAGTGGTAGGTTCACATGCCATCTGCCATCCCTCCTCTTGGAACTGGCAAAGTGCTTAGCTTAAGTTACTTTTTTTGACTAGATAACCATTTTAGTGCATTTAGCGTTACACTGAATGTCCTCAAAATTTAGGGGATGGAAACATAGTTGGAAAATAATAGAGGGTATCGAAAAGCATTGCTGGAAGTTCAGGCCATGAGTGTCCTCTGCACACAGTCAAAAGCTGAGAGGTTTAACTTGATACTCAAGTGTCCAGGAGCTGCAAAGGCTTGTGTCAGAAGGACGTAAGCATGAACGACTTCTGCCTTGACTTCTTTCAGGAGTCTGTACATATTGATGCAGGAGGGTTTTAAGCCTGTGTCCTCCTTAGTTTTACTGTCTTGGGGCTTTGCAGCTGTAGTGTTGGTTACTGTCTCAACATAGCTTGTTCTTGGGACTGATTTTTTTGAAATGTCTGTTGTTTGAGAAATAGCTTTACCAACAGAGGTGCTCAAGAAGTTTCAGTGGTAGTTAATGTGTCCTTCATGTACAAAGGTTATATGTGCTCTGGCTCTTAGCCTTCTGTGGGTACATGGAGCATTACAGAAGACAGTTTGCTTGTGTGTGGTCTGAAAATGAGGTGCCACATTTGAGAATCCAGGAGTCTTTCACCCCATATAGCTAAACCTCTTCAATTTTGATAGTGCACTTGTTTTCTTGAAGCCATCCACAACGCTGGCTCTGAAATGTTGGGCTGAATGAGTAAGCTAAGGAAAAGGTTCAGTGAAATACATAATAATACCATGAACTTGTGAACTGAGCAGCTGTGCAATACAGAGTCCATCCTCTCTGCTGAACTCAAATGTAATGGGGATTAAAATACTGGCAAGCTGGTTCTTCTCCAGAAAGACTGAAGAGTAAAGAGTTGAGATCTTAGTGGTGATACTTGAATACAAATACTGTGAGCTCATTAGGAGCTAAGCACAATATATGTTTTATTTGGAATGCATTAGATGTTGTTAATTTACACTTGAAAATACAGGTTTAGTCTAAACTTCATGGGATGCTACTGAGAATTGTTTCACTGATCAGTCATAATCTTGGGCTCTATAATTCAGGGAATGCCATGACTTTTGAATTACTGCAGATGAGGAGCAATTTTTACATTTTAATGATAGAGCCTCTCTGTTGGCATTTAGGATTTTACCATTCCTAAACATCAGGTAACTTTCATGGCATAAGAGGATGATCTTTGAGTCCTGAAATAGGCTCTGCTAGAACTGCTGCTGTTTGAAGTTTTCCCTTTAAACAGTTTCAGACTTGACCATGCAAATTAACTCGGAATGAAATTGGCATGAGAGCAAGTCTGTGAGTCAATATTTGTTTGTGTGCAAGCACTTTCTTTGGAAGAGGAAGGGATTTGTAAAAATGCAAACATAATAAGAAAATACTGGCCTTTCACTGCCATTGTGCTTTTTGCAACTCGGAAAAATCTGAACTGAACTACAGGTGACTTGTGTTTTAGGCTTTCAAAAAAAAAAAATGTAAAAAAGTTTAAATATGCAGAAATCCGAAGAGAGGGGCACAATGTGTGAGGGACTCTCAGCCACGTTACTTTCTCCTAACAACTGTGCTTAGACTTTCATGAAGCATCTCACAAAAGATGAGTTTGGTTGAAGCAACTCAAAATGACCATTATATAAGAACAGGGAAACCCCAAAACTGGCAGAGTGTGATTTGCAGGAAAATACTCATTTGGAAACCTTAGGTAGCATAATGACATGAGGATCCCACCATAGCTAATTAGAGTGAAAACAAGGCTCATCTTCTGAAATTGTTGCATTTTCAGACTGATTAAATTAAATAACTTTGGATTTTGTTATTATTTAGATAGTACTTAATAGATGCCATAAGGAGACAGCATTGGGGCATTTATTAGGTGATGTTTTGCAGAAGGAATTGTCTTGAAAATATGATAGGAGTCTTGGATTCTGACCCCTTTTGTGACTGCAAATTTCTCCCCCTTTTAACTTGGTGTCACTTCAAGAACTATAGAAGTTTAGAACTTGAAGTCACTTCAAGAACTACAGAGCTGGAAGTTTACAGATAGCAAAGGGACCAATTATATAAACACTAGCATTTTCAGTATAATAAAAATACATGTTTAGGCTTGATTTTCTTTTTAACCCTGAAGGCCACCAGTGATGAAAAGGTTGAGTGAGGCTTGTGGTAAGAAGTGCAAGGGAAGCATTTGATACACAGATGTGCTGCTGCTGTAACTCGTAGATACACTGTGAATGATGACTTTTAAAAAGAGTATTCCAGGTTAATATGCATTTCAATACGTAGTCTCTTTAGCTTACAAAACAGTTTTGTCAGCTTTGATGATGCTGGTTTATTAATAATTTTGAAATCCTCACTAAATTTTCACTCATATCGCTGCCAATGTTTTTTCTTTAAATTGCAATTAAAATGTACTCAACATTACTTAAAGGTGTCTGACTGTAAGCCTGTGGGAATCAGAAAGACTACCAGTTAGCTACTTGATAAGATCCCTGACTAAAGACAAATAAGCAGAATTATACTGGATGTTCAACACTAGGAGTATGTAGACAGAAGGAATATTTTTTTCAAAGGAGGAGAAAGAAATTGCATATAAAAACAAAAACACAGTTTAGGAGAAAAGGTGCCATTTTACTTAATTTTAGTTAAAATGAAGTTGGATAGTTATAAATGGGTTGCTATAATTTATTTTTGAGCAGAGAGGACTTGAATGCTGAATTTCCAGACTGTCTGATAGGTGAACAGATGGCAGAGAAGACTTTAAAAGTAGGATTTTTAGTAGAAAGTTCTTGGCCCCCCATGGGTAGCATTGCTACTACATGCAAATAAGAGAATATTCCTGGGCTTTTTTAGTTGTTCTGAAGAAGTCATATATACCTCATTTAAATAGATCCTAAATGAATATTTTGGTTAAGTAATAGTGTAATTTCATGTATGCAGTGAAATCCCAATAAAGATTTAGTGCCTTATGTTTTTATTAGTAAAAATTTGCTTAGTTTGTGCCATGATTTCTCTCATTGTTAGGATGCTTAATATTATTCTTAAGCTAGCAGATCCCATACATTTCACATTTACATACTGTCAGGTTCTTTAGCTGCTTTGTGTAGTTTAACGTGATGTTTGTCTCGTTCTGGAATTACCTTGGGTAATGTTTGTGTGTCCAGCACACACACACTGTTTGCTATCCCTAAAACAAGTACAGAGACTTGTTTTCTTGGGGTTCTGTTGCTTGCAAGGGGATTTCTGAGTGAACTCTTCAAGTAGAGATATAGTTGTTTGTTTGTTTGGTTTTTTTTTAATTTATATTTAAGGCAGAACCACTGCCTTTTCTTGTAGATACATAGAGCAAGAGAGTGGGGATGGCCCTTTCACTGCTAAGGTTCTTCCTGATCATCCCCAAACCAGTCATCTTAACCACATTTTTGATGGACAGGAGGAAGGAGAAGAATTTCCCCCCAGCTACCCCCTGTTTTCTGCCTTGCCTAGAGTTGATGCCAGCAATGCTGCACAGCCTGAGTTGGTGTGGGGTTAACCACTCCCTTGTGTTGTGTGGATGTCCCCTGTGATGTGGCTGTGTCCATCACACCTCGTGGAGGTTGCTTCCACCTCTGTCAACCTCACCGATGTCAGCGTAGCGCTCACACGTATTTTCATGTCTGCCTGTGTGTGTCCGTGTTGTGTATTCTCTTCACTGGTGTTTTGTGTATTTTCCAAAATTAGACCAAGAGCTTTGGCTGCTTCAGATGCTGCAATTGCTACATCAGCCTTTATCTGTGTTATCTTGTGTACAATTTTCTGTGTTTAACAGTCCATTATAAAAGGGTTCAAGTATGTAAGTAAAATACGCATAATCATTTAGGTTTATCAGTTAAACAATACTTTGGATCAGAGCTTAACAGAACTAAACATGTTATTGTGCAGTGTTTTTTGACACCTCCAGTGGAATTCAAAACAAAAATTGCAAGGGAGTTGGACTAATTTGGTTTATTTATAAAAAGAAAAAAAACATACACCTTTGTGACACAGTTGTCTGAGAATTCTATAGAATAAAAACAATTTTGAAGCCAAAATTTCTATTATAACCTCAATGACTGTAAAATGTTGTGGTTTTTTTTTTTTTTTTAATTATTATTTTTTAATGGTAATATTGTTGCCTAATATTTGCTAATTCCTCCCCTGTTGTCATACCCAAGGGACACAGTTAGAAAAGTTTGTTTTTCCTGAGTTAACATGCCTTAATAAACGATATGATGTTCTTACTTAATGATGTCTTATCAAATGGCCTCAATGTCTTTAAAGCTGGCTTCAGTCGTGCTGGGGGATCTGGAGGAGCGACCAGGGAAATTCCAGGATTGCTTGACAGGGGCACCGTGTGGGATAGGAACTGCATAGGCAATGTCCTGGAAGAGGCCATGAACTGCTTTGCCGAGATGCAGAGGCAGACAGAGGAGAAGTTTCGCATGTGGATAGAAAAGCTAACCCGTCTTGACACGGACGAAGAAAGCAAGCAACAACTGGAGCCCAGGGAACCTAAAATTCAACTAGTTGGCCAAAGAATCCCCCCAACCACACAGTCAGGGGCTTTCCTACAGATGCCTGATAGCCAAGTACTTCCACAGCAGTCGTTTAATTCGTACGTGGGCTATCAAAATGTCGATGCTACGCTAGAGTTTCCAGCGACTTTTAATAACAATTTTCCACCTGTCTTTCCAGAGAATGGGAATATTGCAGAGCCTGATCTGAATCAATCATAAACTTAAAAAAATAATCCAGCCTTTGCCATCTTGCGTTCCTTTGGATTGTGCTAAAAACAAGTTTTGCTTTTCTCTTTGTGTGCGTTTGTTTCGTTTTTCTCTTTCGGGTTTTATCACCATGGTATCATTCTTTAAATTTATAGAGAATATTTATGTAGTTTAAAAAAAAAACCCACAGCATGCCTACGTGCATGGGCCAGCACACACATACAGACACCTTTAACGGTGTGTATGGGGGAACCACCCTAAGATTTCATCACCAAACTTGGGAAAATATAACTTAGAGAATCCTCGTTTGGATACTCCGAAATCAGTAGAGCTGTGTTTGCTACAATAGGAGCATTCAGAGTATTCATCCAAATGCTCTTTTTTGCATGTTGTAACGTTTATATAAGGAAATAAGTTTTATATTTAAAGATGTAAAACATGCTGGAGAACCAGACTAGTGCAGACCCATAACATTTCCTCAACTCATCTGTTGACTCCCGAGTTTTGCAGCTTGAACATGTCACACAGTAGTTTTTGTTCTTCTTGCTTTTTTAGGCAGAATAAATAAGCTTACCCTAAAAATTTAACTATAGGTAACAAATGTGCACAGCTGACTGACTTTTTTTTTTTTTTTTGGTGTCCCTCTTAGTAACTCATTTTCTGTCCCAAGTTTTTATTGATGTTTCTGCTGTGTTGCACATGGCATATTTCTGGAAGCAGCTGTCTTACATTGAATACGCACATGTATATACATATGTATGTGTTCAGCTTGGGTGGAAGTCATCTCCTCTAATTTTAGGTGTCCAGTTTTGCTGTCCTGTGTATCTCCTTCTGAGCCAAAGGGAAGAGAGAAGCACCTCCAGAGGACACCTCCTGGCAGTGCCTTTCTCTTCCCTTTAGATGTCTAAACCTCCCTTACAGATAGCTTAGAATAGATGGCTTTTGGCCAAAGTTAGGTGAGATGAATCACACCCAACTGCCTGACCCGTGCACACAAAGTGCTGCTGCTTCCTCCTGTATATACGATCCAAATGCATCCTTCTTGCTGGAGTAAAAACAGTCATGTCAGTCCTGAGATAAGCAGCTGGTGGTGGATGGATTGAGCCTTGGCACAGGAATTTAAAGGACGGCTTGACAGTCAGGTTAGTAAACACTGTGGTGGTCTGAGGGTATGGGTTGCTGGTCTGGGTCAGGCAGCAAGAGCTTCTTCTGAGCCACGTCTGAATGCCACTGAAACGCTTATTTACCTGGGATGAGGAATGCCAGAGCATCAGTTTCATCTAAATAAGACTATAACTTCCTATTGTATGCAGTTTTTTTAATACTGATAGTTATCCTGAATAGGCAGGATTGAAACTGTGATGTTTAAAGTAGGGTTAATTTAAACTATATCCTAGAAATCTCTATTTAAGTCTTACTGTTATCACTACACACAGGAATTTTTTGGTCACTTCTCCATTAAGGCCTTTCTTCACATAAAGGAACTTTTCTGTAGCTGCCAAAAATGTGTATTTATGTCTATCATGAGTTAGAACTTGCTAGATGTTTCTAGTGCAAATTAAATCAAAATTCTAATAATGGAAATAGAAAGTGTTTGCATAGGCATAGCTTAAGGAAAGAGAACACTGTAGGTCTCCTTTAGCTCTGTTACTTTGCATTTTAAACCACAGCCCCCCCCCCCCTTTTTTTTTTTTTCTGATTTAATTCCTTTTCTTCCTGTTGGAAGTATCTTCTGTATCTTCTGTAGTACTGGTTTTTTTTAATTCCCTGAAGTCAGTGGGGATTTTTCTATCAATTTATATAAAGTTTTGGATTGAAGCTGTAACAGAGACTCAAGAAATGCTTTTTGTTATCAGTATAGTACTAACACTGGTGTTTTGATATTATTCTTTGCCCAGACTTACCTTTTTTTTTTAAAGTATGTGATGCCTTCATTTAAAAAAAAAAAAAAAAAATAGGTTAGAGAGCTGTGTTATTTTCAGAGTAACTGTTTGAAAGACTATGCAGGAGATAATTTTTAAGTACTGGAATAAATTCTTTGCAGATCACCTTCATGCATAATTTTGATACAAAGATTTTGATATGAACTTGTAAGGAAACTCCCTTGTCTGACATTGTGTGCATTTTTAACTTAACTATAGGTAAAACTTAGGCTCTGTTTGATTGCAATTTAATAAACTTGCCTTCAATTGTTAAGAATTTAAGATCGTTCAGGGAAGATTATTTGCTGATATAAAAAACAGATCCTTCTGGTGTTCATAGATTTTATATATATATATATACACCTTTATGACAATAAGAGCAGCATATTCTAAAGCATGACAACTTTACAAGTCTTCCCATGCATGCAGAAGCAGGTTTTTGCAGTAACTGATTTCTTCTAATGTTTAAGAGTCATTTAACTCTGTATGTCTGTAAGCATGCCCTAACTTTTTTTTTTTTGTATAAAGTAGAATATATGGAACAATTAGGTATTTCAAAACAAATTTTGTGATAAGATCAGTTAAACTTAGGTATCTCTCAGACCAAAACAGACTTTTATGTACTGATCTCATAAATGGATGTTAACTTTGCTAGGAATGTAGCCAGTGAACTTTCTGCCAACTTTCAATGTCTTGGTTAGGTAATCTCTTAAACAAACCTCAAAATCATTCAGTGTATTAATAGATTAAAAATTGGATTTGTTTACTATAGGCAAAAATGAAAAACTGTCAAAAATTTTTGTCCATTGATGTTAATTTCTTTTTTTTTTTTTTTTTTAATGCAAGTAGCTACGAGTGTGCAAGAACAAGCAGAGGATTATTTCAGTAGAGCACACAGACTTTAAAGCTGTATTCTTCCTAGGATAAAATTATCCCAAGGCACCCAGAGGACTTGAGGGAATAATTCATATTAGATATAATTTTAGCCTAATTTCCCCACAAAAGCTATGTAGTGTTAAGAACATTTGTGCAAGACCAATGGTTGCAAATGGTTTAGTAAATGGAAATATTTTTCTCTTTTTTTTTTGTTATCTCTTTTTACTTGCCTCAAACCTGAAGCCAAATATTCAGCTGTTATAAACTAGCTTCTTTGATGCTGATTTCCAGTTGAATATTTGGTCCATTAGCTTGTTTTCCACAAGAAGAAATGTTTCTCCTGGTAGGAGCTGAGAGGGGAACCCCACCTGTCTGCTGTTGGGGTGTAACTTAGCACGTGAAAGAGCTGACAGGCTGTGCAATTAAGCAGGAGCATCTTTCTTGTTTTTTATTGAATTTGAAAGATGCAGAGCACTGAAGAAACCAATCTTCAGACAGCAATAGCAGTGGTGAACCTCTATTTTAAATGTGTGTACAACAGCCTTTGGCTTCTATTGACAAAACAGATTCCTAGTACATAATTTCAGATTTTTAATTTTTGGTTTTTTGTTTGTTTGTTTTTTTTCCCTCTTGGAAATATTTTTGCTATTATATGGCTGCAGTTAAGTTCATCATGATTGCCATTACAAGCTCTTATTTTTGAAGGGCTTTGACTAGAAACTTTCAGGGAGTTAAAATTTCTTCAGCTGAAATTTTAACATCAATTTTAATCTCACCCATCCAGGATTCCATTAAAGCAGTCTGGCCTTATTTAAGACTGTCTTGAGATGATCGTAGGGAAAATTCTACTTTACAACACGAGAGTTATGCTTTGATTGTATATTTATGCTCACATCTCAGCAAATTACTTCAAAACCCACTAAATTTGACAAAAAGAGGAGAAATCAGTAGGAGTTCTGCACAGATGTGGAAGACTGGAGGTGGTAATTCAGCTTCTCTAACTGCCCTAGGTTTTATACTTCAGAATGGAGTAAAGAAAAGATTCTAGTTTCTTTAAAGAATTTTCCTTCTCTTCTGATTTCTGAAGAGTAAATGCATCAAGTCAGATCAGTTGGTGTAGACTGGTACAATTCCAGGGGAGGTGGTGCCTGTTTAAACCCAGCTGCCCTATTCAAGTTCCTGTATTGCCATTTTTAATATCAAATTATATGCTTGCAATTTGGCAGCTGTTTCTGCATGGGAGTAATTGAACACCCATGTGGCTGCAGTCTTTGGTGATACACAACTACTTCATTAGCATTTTGAGGTTTTATTTTCTTTGCATGTGCAAAAGAAATGTCTTTATATAATAAAGGCTCAATTTAAATGTCACTAAATGTCAAAACGACAATTCAGTCAATGAAAAATTAAAGGATCCTAGGATTGGACTCTGTGTAGGAGTCTTTGAAAGTCCAGGGGCTTTGGTGTGGGGTGGTTTTGGAGGTTCCTCCCCAGGCATTTTTGCTGCTTCCCTCCCTCAGGTGGGGTTTGGAAAGGAAGGGCCATAGGAAATTCCACCCATCACACTTGGTTTTATCTGAGGATTTGGGGTTTTGCTTCACATGCTTTTAACAAACCACCTGAATCTTCAGGTTTTATTTAAGAAAAAAAAAAGGAAAAAAGGTAATACACAACATGAAACAAATTCAAGTAAAACGAAGTGAAGCTTTATTCAGTGTTACTATTGCAAAAAAATACATGAGCAGAAGACAAAAAGAAAGAAAAACTCCTAAACCATTCAGATATACTGCTCTTCAGTGTTACTTTTAACAGTATTAGGGTGAAATAATTCAGGCAGAAATATACTTCTCTATTTTTTTAGGTTCACAGTGTCTTTTGGTGTTTTTGCAGGATTGTTAGGTTATTTTATCAGAGCTGCTAGAGTTAAGGCTGGAGAACCAGTCTTGACTTCAATGAAACCGGATTATATTTGGCAGTTATCTTACAAATTGAGACGTATTTATTATCACTGAATTATCTTGTTAATATATTTTGTCTTTTCCTGTATCTAGATACTGTAAGTCTCCTTTTTTTTAAAAAAAAAAAAAAGTAATATTTCAAGGGCATTAAGAAACAAAATCCTAACCCTATTAAAAGCAGTAGAAAAGCTCTACTAATTTTAGTGTGGGTTGCATTTCACCTCATTAGAAATTGAACTTATTCTGCAGGTTTTGGTCAGAGAATCCTTCAGCTGACTTTAAAGGGAGTCTTTGCCTGATTGAGTGTGTAAATCAGGCCAGCTGGGCAGATGTTTTTAACACAATCAAGGTCTGCACTGTGGCCACTGCAGTTGGGTTTGGAAGCATTAGAATAAATGTGCTGTGTAATTTGTACTGTTCAAACTAAAACATTCAGGCTGATTGATAGAGATGGACAGTCCTTTGCAAGACCTGTAGCTAG